AACCTGCAGGCGGAGCTTGAAGAAAGATCAACAATTGCCCCCAAAAATACCCCCAAATATCGGGGGCGCGCAAACATGGATTAGCGATCCATGGATTTAGCGCGCGGTCGCCAAATCCATGGATCAGGGGAGGTGTCCTCCCCAAAATGCGGCCGGTGCCGCCTCGCTCGGCGGCGGAAATCCGCGATTTCCCAAAGAAACGGGACCCGTCGCTAATCCACGCCCCCTTGATCCATGTTTGCGATCGCCTGACAATCGTCCCCATACCTACTCTTGAACAATATTCCTGCAGAGGGGCATGCCCGACTTCAGAGAAGGCCGCGGTCCCAGCTCGAGCCGCATCGCCCGACGCCTTGGCGGCGCGGCGCTTCCCCCGAGGCCGCCCCGAGGAAGCGGCGGCGGGGCGGGCTGATGGGCCTGTTCTCCACCACCACAACCACCACCATAAGTTGCAAGGAGGAGGAGGAGGAGGAGGAGGAGGAGGAGGAGGAGGAGGAGGAGGAGGAGGAGGGAAAAGGAGGAGGGGAGGAGGAGGGAGGAGAAAAGGAGGAGGAGGAGGAGGAGGAGGAGGGAGGAGGAGGAGGAGGAGGAGGAGGAGGACCCCCTCCCTTTCCTACTTACGGTGGAGGCGGTGGAAAACAAGCGCGTGGCGGGGCGCGCCTGCCACGGCCCGCAGGGCCGTGCCCGGGGGCCACGCCGCAGGGCCGTCGTTGCGCACCTGCGGCCGCGCCGAGGGCGGTCGCGCGCCGGCGCGTGCGCGATCGACCGCCGAGGCCGCACGCCGCAGAGGTAGGCGGCGCGGGCCTCCAGGCCAGAGGGTCGGAGGAGGAAGACCTCCTCCGCCTCCTCCTCCTCCTCCTCCTCCTCCTCCTCCTCCTCTTCCTGCTCTTCCTCTTCCTCCTCCTCCTCCTCCTCCTTCCTCATCCCTCCTCCTCCTCCTCCTCCTCCTCCTCCTCCTCCTCCGCCTCCTCCTCGTCCTCGTCCTCGTCCTCCTCCTCCTCCTCCTCCTCCTCGTCCAGGGAGGGGGCGGAGGAAGAAGACCCTGAGATCCTGTCCTTGCGATTTTTTCACAACGGGCGTTTTCGCTCGGTTTCGGGCCCCGGGGCCCACACAGGTTGATCCGGCTCGAAAAGCGATGCAGAAGGATGGGGTCCATGGGTCTGGGCGTGACTTTGTGCGAAGACGCAATTTTTCGGCAACGTCGGATCTCAAAGGAAGTACTCATACTGCTACCTTTGCCGCGTTTTCCCCTTTGTGGGCCCACTGGCTTTTTGGCCACATACCCTGCGATCCGACGTAGCGAAAGAATTGCACCAGCGTAAAAAAATCACGCCCAAAGCCCTAGACCCCATCTTTCTGCGTCGTGTTTTGAGCCGGATCGATCTGTGAGGGTCCCGGGGCCATTAAAAAAAGGCTAAAACGCCCGTTGTGAAAAACTTGAAACGCCAGGATCTCAGGGTACCCAGCGAGGGCCCTAGCGGCCCTGTCCGCCGCGCGGCCGTCCCTCCGAGGCTGCCTCCAGGCTCGTCGCTGGGCGAGCAGCGCTCCTCTCTCTCTCTCTCTGTTTCTGCGCGCCCTGCGAGAGGCGTGGGGGGGCCAGTGGGTGGCGTCGCTGCCGTAGCACCTGGTCATAGGAAGAACATATACCCATGCCGCTACCTTTACCTTGTCTTCGCCTGCTTTGGGGCCTCCTGGGAGACCCTCGACGCCACCGCTGGATTCGCCCCGAAATTCTGGTCAGAACGCACCCCGGAAGAGGTCTGGGGAGTGGCGGTATCGAGTTTCCCCAGAAAGGGGAAGGAGGAGGAGGAGGAGGAGGAGGAGGAGGAGGAGGAAGGAGGAGGAGGAACATGAGGAGGAGGAGGAGGAGGAGGAGGAGGAGTGAGGAGGAGGAGGAGGAGGAGGAGGAGGAGGGACAAGGAGGAGGAGGAGAGGAGGAGGAGGAGGAGGAGGAGGAGGAGCAGGAGGGGGAGGAGGGAGGGGGGGGAGGGGAGGGGGGGAGAGATTGCATGCTGCAGGAGGGGCTCTCCCAGCAGGGGGTGGGGCCTGCAAAGGGCGCGTGCTCACGAGCGGCGGACATCAGGCAAGCGCGTTCCACTACTCGCAAAGTAGCTGCTCGCAAATGGCCTGGATCCGCCACGAGGGATCTACGATCCTTTACCTAAGAGGAGGACCTGTTTTTTGTTCCTGACGTTTGCGAGTAGGCACTCTGCGAGCAGCGGAGCGCGCTCGGCGAGTGTGCCGAGGCCCCGTGCCCGCGTCCGCGCCGCGGCCCGGACTGCCGGGGCGCGGTGTCCCGCGGATGCGAGGGCCGCCCGAGCGCGCTCCGCGCGGGGCGCTCCGCGGACAAGCGCCCCGCGTCCACGGGGCTCGCGGCCCCGGGGCCCGGCCCGCGAGGCCACGGAGGCGTGGGCAGGCGTCAGAGAGGGCCGAGGGAGTCCCACCCTCACAGGGATCACCCCGACACGCGAAGCCGTTTGGTGCACGCACCCAAAGAAGGAATCGAACAGGGCAGGGCTATTTAGTAAGCGCCCAAGGCCGTTTAGCAAACGCCAATTATCGGGTCCGGGTGTTTTTTCCTCCCTAGATGTTTCCCGCCTTCGGTGGCAAGTCATGGGAGCCTCCCATACCCTCTTGTCGGCTCTTGCGAATCGACACTCGTCGACGCCAAATCGACGCTCATCGACGCCAGATCGACGCTCACCGACGCTAGATCGGCGCTATCTCACCGACTCCCAGACGCCAATTGACGCTAGTTGGCGCTAAAGACGAAACTAAGAGGGCATACCAAGTTCCCATGATTTGCTACCGAAGCCGTGGATGTGGACATGTTTCCCGCCCGCCTGATGCTCGGTCCCAGGACGAAATGACAAGACCGTCCACGGCGACATCACAATCGAGAATGAGCCGAGCCAGCAACGAAGCCGGAGCCGATCGGAGCCGACAGGCCACAAGCAGCATGGAGGAGCGCAATGGCGCTGCAACGGCACAACAGTCGACCGAACCGAACCGGCAGAACGCAACCGACTGCGACACAACCGAGCCCACAGAGCCGCGGGCGCCCTTCCGGGACGCGTCGGCTCTCGGGCCCTGACTCGGACCTCCAGCGGTCACTGGGACCCCCCTGGAGCGCGAAAATCTCCGAGAAGCAGCGAGGACTTCCGAAAACTCTGAGGGCTCGGTCGTCGTCGTCCTCCGGCCGAATCGCGGACACCGTTGCTGGTAGAGTGGGCGCCTGCCTGTCGACACCGCCGCGGGCGCCAGCCGGCCCTGGGACTCCTCAGATGTAGCAGCGCCTGACTGCTCCTCCTCTTCTCCCTCTCTTCCTCCTCCTCCTCCTCCTCCTCCTCCTCCTGCTCCTCCTCACTTCCTCCTCCTCCACCTCCTCCATTTCCTCCTCCCCTTCCTCCTCCTCCTGCGCCTCCTCACTTCCTCCTCCTCCTCCTCCTCCTCCTCCTCCTCCTCATCCTCCTCCTCCTCCTCCTCTCTCCTCCTCCTCCTCCTCCCCCTCCCTGCTGCCTGCCTGCCTGCCTTCCCTGCCTGCTGCCTGCCTGCTGCCTGCCTGCCTGCCTGCCTGCCTTCCTTCCTCCTCCTCCTCCTCCTCCCTGCCTGCCTGCCTGCCTGCCTTCCTTCCTCCCTTCCATCCTTCCTTCCTTCCTCCTCCTCCTCATCTTTCTCCTCCTCCTGTTTCTCCTCCTTCTCCTCCTCCTCCTCCTCCTCCCCCTCCTCCTCGGCCTTCACCTTGGAGCGCCGTCTTCAAGGGGAACTGCAGCCTGAAGATGCAGTAGCCCGCCTGGTGAACCATTGTCACCAAGTGAGCGATGGGAGTTCTGGAAGGGTGAATGACCCTGAAAGCGAAGTCCTTCACGCTGTCGGGGCTGCCCGCATCCCCCGGCGATTTCGTTGGCACCAAGCATCGAATGATTGTATACGGTCGGCGGTACCCTGCGATACTGCAAGCACATAGCATGGAACACAATACACCGTGATTCTCGCCGTTCGCCTGGGCCCTAGCCAAACCAAAAATATCGAAAGGCTGCAATAATATCAATGAGACCTGCGGGGGGGTTATCCCCACCACCCTTCTCGGGTAGGATCCCCAGCTCTGAGCGCCCGGCGAGGGAATCTCCTGGGATCCGCAGGAAGCCCGTCGTCGGAACCCTCCTCCTGCTCCTCCTGCCAGCCCAAAGGACCTTGGCTCGCGAACCTCTGCGGGGGATACCGCTTCCGCCCCGGCCGTAGTGCCGGAAGCGTTGTCATATCCTCTGGTGAGGGGTGGGGGCGAGAGGCACTGACTGCTTCCTACGAGCCTCGTCAAAAATAAGTTGAGACGCCGCTCAGAATCGAAGCGCCCCATAGTTCGGGCACCTGTCAGCAGACGCGCTCTTCAGTGCTGTGAGGGCAGCGCCGGACTTCGGAGACCCCTGCGTGTGGGCCGAACACCTCATGCCAACATCGAGGTCAGCGCCGACCGCGCAAGCGCCGAAAACAAAAGCCGTCAACTTACCCTGGGCTTCTTAATAAGCGTGGGGGGGTACCCCTCAACGGGGGTCAACCTCGCCTCGTCGTCGCGCCGCGACGGAGGTCGGAGCGGCGCGCGGTGGCTGCCCGCGACGGGGGTCGATGTGGGGCTGTCTGCGGGGGTGACGGCCCCCCCGACGCTTATTAAGAAACTCGGAGTATGGTTGACGAGTGCAGGTAAGGTCGCACCAACATCCAGCGCGCTGGGCGCACACCACGGCGGAGAGGCAGCTGAAGCCGTGCTCGGCGGCTGGCGCGCGGCACCTGCACGCGGCCGCCCCGTCCTGCCCCAGCGGTTGGTCCTTGGCCGCTCGCGAGGAACACGCGGGGGCTGGCGCGCCCTCGCTGCCGGCGGCCGCTCGCGGGGCCTGGCGCCCCCTCGCCTGCGGCGAGGGGTGCGGAGCCCGGCACGCCCCCCGTTCTCGGCACCCGCCGTTGGGGCCCGGCACGCCCCGGTCTCGGGGCCCGCCGCCGCCCACGCTGCCCTCCAGGTCTGCGTCGACGTCGTCGGCAACCCCGTCCGCAGGCTCCCACACGCTGGGCGCGGAGCGGGCGCCGAGGCGCCGGGGGCCTCCGGTGGGGGAGCCGCGCCCGTCCCCTGGGAACCGTCGAAGCATTCAGGGGCGCCGCTGCTTGGCGCCGTCGTGACCCTGGAGGCCGAAGTGCTCCTGACCGTTGCCGAAGTGCTCCTGCCGAAACGGCCATCTCTCACGCTGGTGATGCGGCCGGCGATGCACCTGACGCCGCGCTGCCGCGGCGGCCAGCACATCTGGCGCGGCGCAGCGCTGCGCTCCCCGGGCCTGCCTCGAAGAGATCTCGTAGTCGCGGGCGGCGGCCAGGGCGTCGGCGCCTTGGGGGCCCCGGCTGCTCCCTCGCCTCCACCCCCGAGGCTCGCATCCGCGACCCACCAGCGGCCGCCGCTTCGCCGCCATGGCGCTGCAGCGGGTGGCGCGGCCAGAGGCGCAGGGGCCAGCCCGCAGTGCGCACTCCCGCAGAGGCCAGAGGCGCGGGCCATGTTCAAAATGTGGCTCTCGCCTCAGCGCCGCGCGCATTCATTCGAACATACTGCAAGGGTTTCACGGATTGAGGGCGGCTCGTTTTCAAAATGTGGCTCTCGCCGTAGCACTGCACACATTTGTTAAAACGAACGCAAGCGTTTTTCGCGGATCCCTATGGCCAACGTACCAGTTACCAGTAATGGTGTTTTGGAATATTCAGGATTGTGAGGGCGCAGCAATTACGTTCGTTGGCGGTGTTGAAGTCCCAAATACGGCATTCTGGCACGATTCAAGATCGTCAAGACGCAACAATCAGGTTGATCCGTGAGTCCCGAGAATGGTGTCGTGGCACGCTTCAGGGTCTTCAAACGGTTGTCTCCCAACGAGGCAGTTCCTTCAGTGGAGATGAACCCTTGTAGTAGCCGATGAAGAGGGACCTTGGAAGGAGGGTTTATTCCAATACCGTTGATGAATCTTGGGTTCACTGGTCCTCCCTCCTCCTCCTCATCCTCCTCCTTCTCCTCCTTCTCCTCCACTTCACCCTTCCCTCCTCCTCTCGCTCCATCCATCCTCTTCCTCCCCGTTCCTCCTCTCCCTCCCAACTGGCACACGCAATTGCTGGTGTAGTCATCTTCTCCGTGTGCTTTAACGGTCAGCTCGCCGCGACGTCCACAGTCGAGGGTGCTTATCCCCAGTTCTGGGCATTTTCTACATGGTCTTCTGCGGCGAGCTCGCTACGTCCATGGGTGTAGCACCGTACATCGACAAAATGTTGCACCACTTTTGCTGCGCATTGGCGCCTGTGCTGCAGTGCTCGTTCCCCCCCCTCACCCCGATCTTAAGGTTGGGTGCATGGCGAAAAGCCCTTGGGCCGCAGGTTGCGCTTCAATTGGCGTCAAGAAGGTTTCCCTGACATTTGGGACACGTGGTGGTGTGTATCGCAATGTTTCCTCAATGCTGGCTTGTGCACGTTCTGACCATGCACGGGTATGGCGCTCTCGATTTCTCGGTGGCCATGTGGTCTTGTTCATGTAGCTAAAAAGCCCCTTCAATAATTGTGGGTCTATTGACTTGGGATGCCCGACATGGAGGTGGCCTGGCTCGTTCCTGTGATTTGGGCGTTTCGTTTTGCCATTCTGCACGGCCTCATACTTTTTCTTTTCTGGTGGGATGAGAAAACATGGGTCAACAAGAAAAACTCATGACAGTGTCCGTGCGTTCCGTCAGCTTCGTCGGGCTCGGTCTGCGTAATTGGTCGTGTCGCCCTTCTTCATGCTGGGGTGGCGGTGGCATGCAATATTCGTGAAGCTGTTCCCCCTGTGGGCGCTTCGTCCGCCTGGTCGTCCTGTGCGCATTCAAGGTCAAAGGGGGCGTCACATGCTCGATATAGATATTGCTTCGCAATCGTTCCGAATCCGAATCCTCCTCCTCCTCTTCCCTCCCTCTTCCTCTTCCTCCTCCTTCTCCTCCTCCTCCACCTCCCGGACCCCTCCTCCTCCTCCTCCTGGACTCCTCCTCCTCCTCCTCCTCCTCCTCCTCCTCCTCCTCCTCCTCCTCCTGGACTCCTCCTCCTCCTCCTCCTCCTCCTCCTCCTCCTCCTCCTCCTCCTCGCCCCCGCCCCGGCGCGCGCCACGACGCGGGCCACGGCGCACAGCCCTGGCGAGCCCGCGGCCGCGTGGGGCGCGACCTGGCCCGGCGCCGGCCCCCTGGGCAGGCCTCGGCCCTTCTCCTCCTCCTCCTCGCCCTCCTCCCTCCCCCTCCCTCCTTCTCCTCCCCCTCCTCATCTTCCTCCTCCTCCTCCTCCTCCTCCGCTCCCTCCTCCTCGTCCTCCTCGTCCTCCTCGTCCTCCTCGTCCTCGTCCTCGTCCTCCTCCTCCTCCTCCTCCTCCTCCTCCTCCTCCTCCTCCTCCTCCTCCTCCTCCTCCTCCTCCTCCCCCTCCCTCCTCTCCTCCCCTCCCTCTCCTTCCTCTCCCTCCTTCTCCTACCCTCTCTCTCCCCCTCCTCCTCCTCCTCCTCCTCCTCCTCGTCTCCTCGTCCCTCCTCCTCCTCCTCCCCTCCTCCTCCTCCTCATCATCCTTCCTCCTCCTCCCTCCTCCTCCTCTCCTCCTCTCCTCCTCCTCCTCCTCCTCGTCCTCCTCGTCCTCCTCGTCCTCCTTCCTCCTCTCTCGTCCTCCTCGTCTCCTCGTCCTCCTCGTCCTCCTCGTCCTCTCTCCTCCTCGTCCTCCTCCCCCTCTCTCTCCTCCTCCTCCTCCTCCTCCTCGTCCTCCTCCTCCTCCTCTCCTTCTCCTCCTCCTCCTCCTCCTCCTCTCCTCCTCCTCCTCCTCCTCCTCGTCCTCGTCCTCGTCCTCCCTCCTCCTCCCCTCCTCTCCGCCTCCTCCTCCGCCTCCTCCTCCTCTTTCTCCTGCTCCTCCTGCTCCTCCTGCTCCTTCTCCTGCTCCTTCTCCTGCTCCTCCTCCTCCTCCTCCTCCTCCTCCACCTTCAATCCTTTTCCTTCTGGATAACTCCTCCGTGTCGCACCCCGAGGCCGGTCGAAAGGGCGGGCCGGGCATTTCGCCTCGGCGCCGTTTCATTGGTTCTCATGGCTACAATACCAGATATGGTGTTTAGGAAGATTCGGGATTATCAGGGCGCATTAATTACGTTGGTTCGCGGTGTTGAAGTCCCAGGACGTGCGTTCTGGCATGATTCTTGATGGCTAGGACGTAACAGTCAGGTTAACTCGTGGCGTTGCAGTCCTGAAGATGGTGTTTTGGCACGCTTCAAAATGTTCACACGTCTGTCCCCCAACGGGGCAATATCCTCAGAGGAAATGACTGTGTGAAGGGCCTATGAGGAGGGATCTTGGAGGGAGGGTGTATTTCAACATCGTTGACGAGTCTTGTGCTTGCACTGGTCCTCATTTTCCTCCCCCTCCCTCCCTCCCTCACTCCCTCCCTCACTCCCTCCTTCCCACCTCCACATCCTCCTCCTCCTCCTCTTTCTCCTGTTTACGTTGGGCGAACTTGGGGATCTTGGCTGTAGCGCCCTCCTCCCTCTCTTCCTCCTTTTTGTCCTCCTCCTGGACTCCTCCTCCTCCTCCTCCTCCTCCTCCTCCTCCTCCTCCTCCTCCCCCTCCTCCTCAAGATCATCATCATCCTCCCCCTCGTCTTCCTCAACATCCTCCTCATCATCATGATCATGATCATCATCATTATCATCATCACCAGTAGCACCATCATCGCCATTACCAACACCATCATCATCAGCAGCAACGTCAGCGTCAGCATCAGCTTCGTCGTCAACATCATCATCATCATCATCATCATCATCATCATCATCATCATCATCATCATCATCATCATCATCATCATCATCATCATCATCATCATCATCATCATCATGCTCATCATCATCAGCATCGTCATCATCATCGTCATGGTCTTCGTCATCGTCATCATCATCATCAACATCATCATCATCATCTTCATCCTCGTTTCCCTTTTCCTTTCCTTCGCTCCGTCTCGCCCCGGACACTTACACACCCCGCGCCGGCCCCACGGGGAGGTCTCGGCCCGTGCTTCGAAGTCGCGAGGGAGTTCGAACACTCATGGGAGGACCAAAGGAGCAGCAGACCCTTTCCGAACCTGGGCTGCCCATTATGTCGGCGTTTTCAACGCGCAACGCAACCAAATCCTCCTCCTCCTCCTCCTCCTCCTCCTCCTCCTCCTCCGGCGCCTCTTCCTCCCCCTCCTCTTCCTTCCGCCTCCTCCTCCTCCTCCTCCTCCTCTCTTCGTCCTCCTCCTCTTCCTCCTCCTCCTCCTCCTCCTCCTCCTCCTCCGCCCCGCCTCCTCCTCCTCCGCCTCCTCCTCCTCCGCCTCCTCCTCCTCCTCCTCCTCCTCCTCCTCCCTCTCGCCGCCCGCGGCCATGGCGGGCCCGGCGGCTCTGCAGGGGGTGCCTGCAGCGACCCAGTCCACGTCCTTCGCGCCGCCGCGGGCCGGCCCCGCGCGGAAGCCAGCGCAGAAAAAAAACTGCGCCGCGCGCAGCCGACGCAGCTCTTATCCGGGGCCGCGCCAGATCTTGGGAACAAGCCTGAAGCGGCACCCGCGAGGGACAGGAAGGGCCCCGGGCGAGACGCGCGGGCGAGAGGCAGCAGCAGCAAACGCTCGAACAAGGAAGGGGCGCGCCCATCCGGAATGTTTGAGGGGAGAGGGAGAGGAAGCCAGGCGGGGCCGGGAGACGGAGGAGACGGGCCCGCGGCCGCGTGGCTTGCGTCACCGAACCACGCCGTTAGGCGCCGCGCACCTCCGCAGGGGGCAAGGAGCAGGAGAGGAGAGGGGAGGGAGGGAGAGAAGCGAGTGAAAAAACACAGGGGCGGCACTGGCAGCCAAAATGACTACGGAGGAAAGAGCAGCCAGAACGACTACGGAGGAGCGAGGCGAAGGAGGAGAAGGACGCAGCGGAGGAGGAGGAGGAGGGAAAGGGAAAGGGAAGAGGAAGGACAGCTTGAGCAACGAACGGCGACGCATCAAGCCGATTCGGCGGCCATCAAAAGCTCTGCGTTCTGGGCCTGCAGCAACGCGGACAACGACTGCCAAGCGGAGCCCAGAACTTGCGACCGTTCAGAAGGGTCCTCTGGCGCGCACGCGCGGAGGAGGGCAATGGCGTCGGCGCCTGGTCGGCCAAGGGCGTCCACGGCAAGAGGAACTAGGTCCGGCCCTGGGTGCCGCCGGCGCTTGCCATCCTCGGCCCGCGCTGCCGCCGCGCCATCCCGCGCCGCCCGCGCCCAGAGCAGTTCAGGACAAGTGGAAAACGCAGCGGGGACGCAGACGTCGATGCATGCACGCTGGGCGCTCCGGCCATTAAAAACAACGTCC